TCAGACACACACACTCAGACACACACACACTCAGACGCACACACTCAGACACACACACATATACACACACAGACTCAGACGCACACACATACACTCAGACACACACTCAGACACACACATACACTCAGACACACACACTCAGACACACACACACTCAGACACACACACACACACTCAGACACACACTCAGACGCACACACATACACTCAGACACACACACACAGATGTTCACTCACGCTCACTCAGATGCACACACACTCCTACATGCACAAACGTTTTCACACTTACATGTACACATATACACACCCACACACATGCACTCCCATGCACACACATTGACACCTACACATATTTACACACCTATTCACTCCCATACCCACACTGACATGTACACGCACATATACACTCACACACACTCACATATCCACACATTCTTGCACTCGGTCATACACACACGCTCACATGCTCACACGCTCGCATGTACATTTGCACACTCACTTTCATATTTACACATCACACACCCCCTACTCACACGCACTCTTTTTCACTCTCACGCACTCCACCAAAGACCCAGTTACACTCAAGGAATTGTGCCAGCAGCACACGGGCGCCCACAGATCACTCTCACTCACCTGAAGGTACACACACACACACGCACACATGCACACACACGTACACGTACACACGCACGCGCGCACACACACCCGCAGCGAGGACAAAGGCAGAGGCCTGCTTCAGGGGGAACAGCCTCACTGAGCCCAGAAGCCTGACTCTGCTCCCGGTGCTGTCCCTCCCGTGCTGTGTGGCCCCAGGTGAACCCCTGCCCCGCTCTGGGCGTCTGTGCCAGTGACAAGACTGCAGAGCCTCCACGCAGAACCCCGCCCCGTGGAGCAGCCCGTTCCTCTGCGAGGCTTTCCCACCTCGCACACGCGTTCCCGCCCTGCCTCTGGCCTCCAGCCTTGGCTCAGCCTCCACCTGTCTCCGTCTGTCTGTCTCCCCCGTCTCCGAGTCTCTCTCTCTCTCTCTCTCTCTCTCTCTCTCCCTGAGTCTCCCTGCCCCCTGCTTCACTGTGGCCTCCCAGCCTCTCTCAGTCTTGCACACACACGCACTCCCTGGGTGACAGACTCACCCGTGGCGGGTGTGCAGAGCTCAGCAGCTGGGCACAGTGAGTGAGGACCACCAGCAGGGAGGAGGGGGGAGAAGCCCCCCCCCAGCCTCCCCCCCTCAGCCTCACTCATCTCCAGAAACAGCCATTGAATGGATGGAGAGACTGAGGCTCAGGCAGCCGGCCTGGCAGGATGAGGTCGGGGATCAGAGCTGGGCGGTCAGACTGCCTGGGTTTGGCGGCTCTGCCCCTTAACGGCTGTGCCGCCTGGGGGAGTGACCTAGCCCCTCCTGGCCTCAGTTTCCACATCTCTAAAATGGGTATCATGGCAACACCCACCTCCTAGTGGGAACATTGAATGGGAGAAGGTACAGTATCCAGCTCACAGCTGTACTCGGTTAATGTTCACCAGCGACGTCGTTCATGAACTCATTCATGCAGCCACCACTCCTTGAGGACCTACTACGTGCCAGGAGACACTGAGCAGGCCTGGCCAGGTTGCTGCCCTCGTGGCGCTGGTGTTCTGGTCCCAGAGACAGACAACGCTAGGCTGAGCCCAGACCACCCACCCCCTCCTGGCCCAGACCTGAGCGGGTCCCTCCTGCAGTAACCCTGCTGGACTCGGGGATGTCACTCCCAGCTCTGAACGAGAAAGGCTCAGCCCTGGCCAGTGTGGCTCAATGGATAGAGCATCGGCCTGCGGGCCAAAGGGTCCGGGGTTCATTCCGGTCCAGGGCAGGTACCTCAGTTGCAGGCTCCTCCCTGGCCCGGACCCTGGTCCGGCTCCTGCGGGAGGCAACCAATCCATGTGTTTCTCTCACAGCGATATTCCTCTCTCTTCCACTCTCTCTAAAAATCAGTGGGAAATATCCTCGGGTGAGGATTAAATTTTTAAAAAGAAAGAAAGAAAGAAAGGGAGGACCAGGCTACATCTCAAGGCCACTTGGCCCAAGCGGCAAACCCTTGGGAGTCCTGGGCCTTCTTCAGGGCCAGCCCCAGGGGAGCGAGAAGAGGACCGCTTGACACCCCATATACCGCAGGGGCCAGCCGGGCACTCAGCCGGCGGCAGGGCCACCCCCACGGGGCCCGACAGCTGTCCTGTCCCCCAGATTAGGCTCCGGGAGACTAGCCCAGATCCGATCGGGGGAGTGGCCCGGAAGCCGGACTCCCACCCCCATCCTGGCCGGGCTCTGCCTCTTCGTCCAGCAGGGACAGAAAATGTGTTTGGGGGGTGGGGGGGGGGGATGTGGGGGAGGAGGC